AAACAGAAAGAGCTGGGCAGCACATCCCAAGTAAGAGACAGCTTTCGTATCCCAGACAGAACTGGCCATGGCTTTTAGGAGAACGGTGGAGAGGACAGAGAGGTTGAGAAGGAAGAAGTACATGGGGGTGTGGAGGCGGTGGTCGCAGGCTATGGTGGTGATGATGAGGCCATTGCTGAGGAGGGCAATCAGGTAGATGCTGAGGAAGAGCCAGAAGTGCAAGAGCTGCTGCTCCCGTGTATCTGCCAAAGCCAGGAGGAGAAACTCGGTGATGGAGCTGCCATTGGACATCTCCTTCCTCTGACAGCAGAAACACTGTCCAAGGAGGAAAAGACATTGACAAGTTAGGGGGTTCTTCTCTGAGCCATTTCTTGTAGACCTTCACCCTGCTACACACACTGTCCTTTCTTTTTCTAGATTTTCCTTCTGCACCATGCCTGGAGCTCTGATTTTTGCTGGATGAAAGTGCCATGAGGAGCAGGACTTCTTCCCACTGGCTGCAGAGCAGTCAGCCCTGCTCTGCAAGTGTGGGTTCATGAGCATGGTGGAGCAGGGGCATTTGCTGGTGTTCAACTTTGTCAGATGAAACTGTTCCTGCTTTACAAGTGCTTGCCAGCACCTACACTCCCAGATGGAGTTAAGGAACTAGGACAGTAGAAGACAGCATGAAAGGTTTAGGGTTTTTTTCCAGCTGCCTTCTATCTCAGCTGGAGAATGTTTTTGTATGTCAGAATCCCTCAGCATTTGTGCTGCACTCAGGGAGAACAGACCTAGTGCTGTAAGGCAAGAGGGTTGCTTTTAGCTTAGTGCAGAGTGAAGGGAGTTGAGCTGTCCCTCATCTTGTTCCCAGCTGCCCTGGGCTTGCACCATTCTGAGATGGAGAGTGATCTCATGGCACCTCCCAGCCCCTGTGCGCTGCAGAGGAAAAGGGACACATAAATGGAGAGCTGCCCCACGGCTCTGCTGGAGCTCGGGCTTCACAGGAGGTGGTTTGTGCCTTGGATCCACAGCCCTGAGGGCAAAGGTTTTGCTGGGCAGGAGAGGAGGCAAGGGGGCTTGCTCCAAGGAAGGGCTCTGCATTGGAGGGGATCACATGGAGTTTTCTGACTCATACCTCCTTCAGCATTTCTGGTTTTCATTTCCTCGCTTTCCCTGATCACATCCCTGCTGCCTGGAGATTTTTCTCCTGGGAGGTGTTTCCCTGTCCCAGATCTTTTCATTGTAAGCACTCACAGACCCCGTCCAAAACTGTGCTCTCACCTACAGAAACCTACCTGTTTGCAGGGCACTGCTTGCGTGCGTGTTCCTGTTAGAAATTCAAAAAGGCAGAACACCCTGATGGGTCCAGCAAAGATGAAGCTGGTGCTGTCCATAGGCAGGGGAGTGGCTGATGTCACTTTTGGAAGATCCTAGCAGACCTACTGAGAACTTGAAGAGGCTGCTGAGGAGTCCCAATTACTTGTTCAAATTCGAAAACTCCTTTTCTATTTCTCACTCCCTCTCTTTCCACACCTCCTCCTGTCCCCTGCCGCCAGAGTAAGAAACTCAAAACATAGATTTGGGAAATCTTCTTACCTTTGTAGCAGACACTACTTTGACCTTCCTGTTGAAACAGCCCCTTGGACGTTTCTGAATGCTGAGCTGCGAGGAGCCCTGCCCCACACAGCACCATTTCAACAGAAGAAAGATGCTGCCCTGCCAGGGGTCACTCCTTCCACCCACAGCTGTTCCCTGCAGTGCTGTGGGGAGCTCCCCGGGCAGGCTGGGTGCTGACCCTCGAAGGAAAAACAAAGAACCCAGGTGTGAATGGATTCTGCTCTGAAGGACAGCCCTGGGCACCCCTGTCTGCTCGGCCCTGTAGGTATCTCCAGTAGAAGGCAGCCATCACACCCTGTCCCTTCCAGAGGGCAGCAGGGAATCCCTGCTTTGGAGCATTTTCTTCTGGTCTACAACAGAAATGTAGTGAGACACTGACAGATCCAGTAATCTGTAAGATCTACTAGCTTTTGGAGACCCCTCCAGGAACGGCACCTGCATTGAGATTTACCATGTTACTGCCTGTGAAGACTTCTCTGCCAGTGTGCTCTCAGCATCCTCCCATCCCACACTGCCTTTAACCTCTCTCTGCCTCGCTCCTCTCCTGTCACTGCCTGCAGGCAGTGCCCTCAGCCCTGCTGGGCTTTGCAGAGGAGCTGCTCCTGGGCAGGGATGTCTCTCTGCAGCACTGCATGGTTGCCACCCCTGGAGCCCAGCCCAGCTCAGCAGCAGAGGACCAGCCCAAGGCAGCACTTTGTTTATCTACTCTGGGTTCCCTTGAGGTTTCCCTGGGAAACCAGGACAACTTACTGTGAAATAGGCTGACGTAATCACTGATATTTACTCCCTTGGTTGGGGAAAGACACTTAGTTTTAGCAGTGGCATTTCTCCTATCACCAAAAGAGTTAGCTCCAAGGATCAGCTTTTCTTTTCCCAGATATAAGTACAACAGCAAGACCAGGACAGGCATATCCTTATAAAAATTCAATGGAAAATTAAAAGGAATGCAATGGGAGCCATGATGAGTTCTTGCTACATCAGGAACTGTCAAAGAAGAAAGAGAGAGTGTGAGACCACTGCTGAATTTAGGAACAGGAGGTGTAGATAGTTCTGAGATACTCTGTGTCCTCTTTGCCTCATTTACCACCAGCAAGATCTCCCAGGCCTTTGACCTTTGAGGTACGACTCTGGAAAAGAACAGTGAGCAGTAGATGAGGATCAAGTCCGGGGTTACTTTAGCAAAATACCCCCTTACCAGTCCATGGGACTGGAGAAGTAGCAGCCAACGTTCTGGTCAGCAAGGTCAGGTCACGTGGATGACTGAGCACAGCCATCCCCAGCAGTGGACATTCCCCATCTCCTAGGCTGAGGCATGCACACCAGACGGCAATGTCTATAATGACTCCAACTGGCAAAGGAGGGAACTTCCTTTCTGCTGAATTCTCAGGACAATCCTCTTCCTCCTCCTCTACCTGCAGACAGCCACCACTTTCCACTGCTGGGCTCAAACACAGCTGTAAGGGTTTGTTAAGGCCATCAGCCATTCCCTTGTGTCTCGCTGACATCCCCTGACCCTCTTTCCCACACCTACATATGGCCAACCAGTGCTGTTCAGGACCACTCACTCTTCAGAAGAGGTCTTGAGCTCTGAGTACTAGATGTTTTAAGAGAAGAGTTCTCTTTTGTATAAGATTTTACATTAATATTTTTTGTCTTTTGAGCAATAATAGGGAGGCATATTTTTTTTAATTACTTTGTAGAAAACCAAGAGGTGAGAGGTTGTTGTCCTGAATTTATACACTCAAGTTTGAAAGCAGATTCAATAGACATTTATAAATGCCTTGTTTGTGGAGCGGGTGAGTAGATGAGGAAAAATGCCCTAAAATTTAGAGGAATGGAATTGGATTTAATTTACAAAGGACTTAAAAAACAACTTAAATGATATTATCCCTGATATTCTGATGTTTGTTGATCCAAAATTAATAGTGGTAATGAATGCAGCACCAGCAGTAGTTTTCTCCAATGAATCTGCAAGGCGAAGTACGCTCCACAGCAATGTCACAGAAGACGTGATCATGTGCAAGACATACAGGATCCCATTGCATGCTTCAATCAAGTTCTTCTGATCTACATTAGCCAAAAGCGAGTGTATTTGCAGCAGAGAGAGGAGAAAGAGCATTAAATATTGACATAAACAGCATAAGGAAAATAGTGTAAACTGAGACTTAACAGACATGGAAGCTTTCAACTGTAACTATTTTTCAAAACAGTTTTTCAATATTTCTTCTACTATGTACAGCTTTTTAGTCTATTAAAAATAACAGATAAAGAATCTTTTGACTCAGTTGTACAATATTAAATGTATTCTGAACGGGTGAGGCCTCATGTCGACAGCAAATAATTTTGTTCCGCCTGCCTATACCTTTGCAAAACAATTATATCAGAATTTCAAGTGTAACTAATATTATTGGCAAAAGTCTTTACCTGCACAGACAATAAATATTGTTCGGTTACTGTTAAATGAATGGAAGGCAAAAGAGTATAAGAAGAAAAAAAAGCAAAAAAAGACTGCAGAAAGAGCAGGACAAAAAATTTCTTGCAGTCTGGGCTAAATTCTAAACAGAGGCAATGCTAAGAATATCAGATATAAAAATATTGCTTGACAAAAAAGATGGATTGTGAAGATACAGAAGGAACAGAAAGAGCATGTTTTCACACATTCAAGCTCAGGTTGGACGGGGCTCTGAGCAACCTGATCTAGTTGAAGATGTTCCTGCTCGCTGGAGAAGGGGGGTGGACTAGATGACTTTGAAAGGTCCCTTTCAACCCCAAATATTCTATGATTCTGTGATTCTTCCTGGAATTTTCTGGTGACTATCATAGCCTTCCTTGCTGCCTCCAGAGCCCATGGTGAGCTTTCTCGTCCATAGCAGGGCCTTTATGGCCATCTCTTATGAAATGGTTGTCTTTTTATGATTGTCTGTGTAGAAAGAGTAGTCACAGAAAAGCACCACACAGATCCAAAGAGATACGAAGTGAAGTGCCCTTAAGAGCCAGGTGAGCTACCCCCATGTCTGCGGTGTCCTGGCAAGGAGTCTGTGCTGAGGAGGGGATCCAGACTCTTCCACTCTCTGGAGAGGGCAATTAGCAGTGGCCATGCCACCCAGGGAATACAAAGGGTGACTTTTGCAAGACCATCCTTCACATGAACCCCTTCAGACCTGTACTTGTGGACTGGGTGTCATGCCTTGTATTCCAAATACTGATTCCACTGACATTGCCTAGAGGGGCTACCACAGACGCAGATTGCTAGCACACAGATATTTATATTTAGGCAGATCAATGCTTTTGTGAGTGGTGTTGTGGTAGATATTGATACTCTTAGGGAAATCACACAAACACTTGAAGGATAATTGGAGGATTACCACCTTATCTGGCCTCCAACGAACAGGTTCCTCTGTGCCATTGTCTCACTGTCATTGTGCAGGGTATTGTGCGAAAGGTGCTGAGCAGAGGGTGATAATGACTGCTTTTGGCTGCTGGGCGCCTGCTCATACAGTCCAGTATGCTGTTGGCTGCCTTTGCTGCTGGCTCGTTTTTTGCCTAGTGAAAGTTAAGAACCACCAGAGCCATTTCCACAGAGATGCTGCCCAGCCACACAGCTCCTGGCCTCTGTCACTGCAGCCTGCAATTCCCCTGCTCAGTCCTTGGGCCTCTGTAGCAGACGTACGCAAGAGCTGCTTTCTGCTTTCTCCAGTCACAATGACCTTCCAAAATGT